TCGGTTTGATTGGTATTGGAGAAAAAATCCGACCATAATTGGTTTGGTTTGGTTTTGACTAAAATAAGTCAAACGGAACCCGATAGTATATTTATGCAATTTTTAAAAATATTTTATACATATAAATATTTATTGTAATGTAATTTATAAATATTTCTTAAACTTTTTTACAGTTTTATCTTTTAATATATTATTTCAAGTTTGGGCTTAACATTCTTGGATGGTAAATAAATTTTATAACCCATAAATATAGTAACTCAAATAAAGTTCAAATCAATACTAATGCTAACAAAAAAAATTTATTTCAACACTAAGAATGACGATAGTGTTGGATATCTATATTTTAGTTTTACATTAGTTTGTAATGAAAATGTATAACTAAGTTTATCTTTTTTTTCAATACTTCGTTATATAATAAATAGTACTTATTTGCTATACTTATTTTAGCATGGCCTATATAGTATTTTTAGATTGTGTTAATCATTATAGCTTATTAATTAGAAATATTTGCTTTATCCAATATTATTATCTTTGTTATTATTGAATATTTTAGTATAAGCTATGACTTATCTCATATTATTGTGTTATTTTCTTGAAAAATATTATGTAGTTGTTCTTATTAGGAATAAAGAAATATTTGGAACACAAGTTACATATTTAGTGCTATGAAGACTTTATCGGGAAAAACCCCGAAAAAATCAAAAAATCTGAAAAAAATCGAGATTGAAAAACCCGACTTTGTTGGTTTGGTTTAGTTTATAGATTTAAAAATCTGAGACCATTGGTTTGGTTTGGTAATTAATAAATCTAAACTAATGCGACCTATATATACCTCTAAGCAAAATGGAGCATTGACAATGAAGAACTTATTTTCTCCTATCATGATCTTCCTACTTCTGCAGTTGGACCTTATAGATTAGATTACATCCAGATGGTGTCACTAAGGCATAAACATAGGAAGAATACTTTTTTGTGAAGAGTTTTTGTTGATTGGTAGATTATTGGATATGCAATGGTATATATGCCAAATTGCACAGCGCACTTTTGTTTTTGTATGTAATGCATAAGGGCAGTAAATAGTTAGTAAATAGGGGTAGTCGTTGCCTCCTTTGTGCAAGGTAACAATATCGGTCCCCTTCATATTTTTGTACTCTTTGTTGGTTGAATGATAGGGCCATGCCACCATACAAAGTAATTGATTTAAAAAAAAAAAAAAAGACTAGCTAGTAGAAGTGTCATAGATGACAATTGACATTAAGGTTTCCAAGCGTGGCCAAACTATTACAAATACTAAAATTATTCCTATGTTGTATGTTGAGACGGCCAACAACGGAGGTGGATACCCTCCTTTGCCAAAAGATATACTTCTTTTCACTAAATTATCCTGAACCACTACATTTTGCAACTTAAGCATTAACAATAATACTGTAAGTTGGTAACTGTTATTTACATTGGTAATTCCACCATCCATCAACTCACCTGTTAATATTAGAAACAAAAGGTTATCCATTTATCTAGTTTCAACTAAATATATGTTTTATATTATAATTATTTTGTTCTAGTTTATGAACATATTTTCTTTTTGTTCTGTTCCATAAAGAATAATTATTTCTAAATTTGGAAATACTTTAAATTGTACTTCCAATATACCCTCATGTGAAGCTTTTATAGCCCATATATATACTCCGACATATTTAACACTACAAATTTTAAAAGAATTATAGTCATACAAATGTTATGTCTTATATAAAATTATAAATTTTAAAATCTCATCTATTTCGGTTAATAATTAATTTGCATAAATTAAAATCACTAAAGTACCTTATATATATATATATATTATTACTATAATCCCGGATAACTTGTTCCCAAATCAAACGAGTTCTGTATTATTAGAGTCGAGGAAGAAGGGAATTCATCAGACCCCGACTCTTCCTTCCCCCACAAACCTTTTTTCTCTTTTTTTGTTTTTCACATGCAGAAACAGTGCGCACGTGTGTGCACAGATACCTAGTGGGGAGGGGGGGAGGGGGAGGACCCATAGGTCAAAAACCCTAATCTCTGCTGCTTCCACTAAGGTTGGGGACCATGAATGTGAAGTGTGGTACTGGCTTTGAAGACATATAGTACAATACGAAAGCATCTGCTTTTAAATGGTCATTGATAATTACTTCAATATAATTGGCAATAATTAAATAACTTTTGCTTAGATTTCATATTTATGTTTTAAAAATTTATTAAATACATATAGACATTTAATTAACAAAAATGAGCTATATATGAATAAGGTAAAATATCCGGAACCCACAAACATCAAACTCTACCTCTGACTTGATTAAATGATGCTTTTGTAACCTTTGTCTTTCTTGATTTTGCATTCTACAGCTTGGTCCAAAACCCTACTCAAGCGCTTCTTCTTCTTCTTACTTCCCTAAAGTTACTAAAATTCCAGAGGGAAGAAAATTTGCCTAGAATAGGATATTTCATAATGATATTCCTATAAAAAAAAAAAAGGTGAAGTAACTTATTCTATTTCTTGTCACTTAGCTTGTGATTGTTTTTCTTCCTCTGTCAGCTTGGAAAATGAGCGTAATTAGTAAATGTATGCTTCCTTTTCTTTTCTTGCGCATGCCCACCTGTCCTTATCAATTTAGAAGGAAATGAACAATTTGAGAATTACAACTATCCACCTGAAAAGGCTCTCGTCCTTGGCGTCTCCCAAGTCAAATATTACCGCTGTTAATTAATTACCAGAATTAGAAGGGTAAAGAAAAAGAGGGAAATTAAGAGAGAAGTTTTTGGCATAGTAACGTCTAAATAAAGGGAAAAATACTAAAGGAAGTACTTTATTGCAAGGAAGTTCAAATATAAAAACCAATTCTGCCCGAGAGAGATCATTTTTAAAAAAAATTTACTTCAAATTCCATAAATAACTTTTTCTTTCCTTTTCTTCTTTTTTGCATTAGCTTCCATGTTAAAGATGAGCAAGTGTTTACCATTTATGTATTGCTTCACATTTAAAGACGAGCTTTACATTCACGTGACGTGAGTAAGTGTAAAGCAAAAGGAGAAATTGAAAAGCTAATATATACAAGTTTCTTTGAGAAGAACTGATTCAATTTTACAATATGTCCATTTTGGGAAAGATCAAATGCTTTGAATGTAAAACTCGTATAATCATCGATGATAAAACCATTACCTTTTTCTTGACTCTTATAACAAATATATGAAAAGGAGATAGAGTTGTGTTATATTTTCAGTCAAATAGTCCTTATTCTGAAGCTAATTAAAAGCGGAAAAACAAAGCAAAGACCGATATATGGTTTTTTACCATTCATCTTGCAAGGTTTGATACAGTATATCAGTAAATTAAAGGGATTGATTGAGGATATCACATGTTTATCCAAAACTACTTATTCTGCTCTAATAAAATATTATGGTTTATAAATTTAAGAATCACATNGTTGAAATTAAAAAAGCCGTGAAAACTGAAAACAACCTCTTGCAGAAATACAAATGCTGCGTAAGATAGACCCTTGTGATCCAGCCCTTCCCTGGACCCCGCGCATAGCGAGAGCTTAGTGCACCGGACTGTACTTTTTTTTTTAATTTAGATTTCTTACGTATAAAAGATAGATCTGTCATGTGTAAAAACAAATCTTCTATGTGTAAAAAAGGAAATGGGGTCATAAAGCTAAATACAAGTTTGTGATGGGGTACAAAACTATTTGGCCCCAGTTTAGGACAGGGACATTGCAATTTTGTGCATGGGAAACTAGCATGGATTGACAGTTCCACTAAACCCTAGCAGATTAATAATTGAAATTTTGTTTGAAATACAATGATACCATTGAATAAACTCACATAAACACAGTCAACTTTTTGAATTAAGTTTAGAAATCATAGTCTAAAAAACTATCTAGGCTCGAGTGCGAGCGACAGTGAACAAATTAACAAGGGATTAGTCTCTGTGATGCTGCAGCTTTATAAATTTGCTCAAATAAATGAATGAGAATATCTTGGTAATTAGCAATCATTCCATCATATGATTATGTGTTGCATATATTGGAAGTGCAATTCTATTAAGTTAATCCAGTGAAGCATAAAAAGGGCAGCCCGGTGCACTAAGCTTCCGCTATGCGCGGGGTCCGGGAAAGGACCGGACCACAATTAGGTTCTATCGTACGCAGTCTTACCCTGCATTTCTGCAAGACGCTGTTTCCCATTCAATTTCTTTCTTGTAATCTCTTTAATTTATTCACATTGTCATCACTGCTTCTGAAAAAAAAAGAACCTAGCTACACTATTCCCATTTAAATGTCAAGCAGTACCCTAATGTAAGACTTATTCTAGAGTAACGAATTTAAGCCCTCTAATACATGAGAATATTGAGATTTTCTATCACAAAACTTCTCGTATGTAGTTTGAATATTAACTTATCTGAATGAAATTAATTGACTAAATTAAGGCAAGAACATTGAATAATGAGAAACATTTGGTAACTTAAATTTATAGATCAAATACATGAGAGAGTAACCAAAATGTTTTTTGATTGAATATATGCAAAATGAGGTAACAAGTTTATTTTACATAATCAACAGAACCAAATAGATTTCGAATTAACACAAACTGAAGAGAGTTGTGACGATACGTTGTCAACAAAGAATTTCCTTGTTCTCGGCTTCATGAAAACGGAATGTCTGTAATTTGATGCTGCAAAAGGAAGAAGAAAACAAAACGATAGAAGATGATCAGATGCACCTAGTGAGAATACGTTGTTTACAGCTTTATAAAAGTATGCAATACAAGGGGAGAGCTTGCGCTTCAGTTGAAGTAGCGCCTTTGGTATATGAGTAGGGATCCTAAGTGGCGCGTTCATTGGGCCAAAAAATTCATAGATCCCTTGGAGTATTTTAGAAATCATCTACTCCTATCTGATTTTTCTCTTTTCATGTGATTACAATTATAAATGAATTTATCAATGAAATCCGAATATTTACCTCATGAGGAATTCCAGCATTTTGTTGATAGTTGAAAATGGCATTTGGGCTCCAATTGCCAGTAGCCACCAAATTACAATCATTAGCAATGTTTTCTTTAATCCCTAATAAAAGCTGCTTCTCATTGTGGGAGGTGAGTTCTTCAACTATTTCAGCTTGCATTTCTTGACAAGGAAGATTCATGCTAATATATCCCGCTGAAAACATACTTAAGTAATTAAAAGTATGCTTCTAATAATAATTTAAACCGTTAAACTAGATGATCATACAATTCAATATAGTATTAGAACATGCAAAGGTCATGAGTTCAAGTTTTACGACTGTTTATTATTAAAAAGAATTTCACGTGTTTGGCCAAGAAAAAGAGCCAGACACATGAAGTGTGCTTCTCTAACAACTTAAACTTTTAGATGATACAGTCACGAACTACAAACATGTTGGTGGTTACCTGATTCTTCGCCCCCTTCGGAGAAATTCCAAGATCTTAAGTTCAAATGATGAGATTTACAAAAGTTTTTCTTTAGTTTTGTTCTCTCCCTTGCCCTCTCTCTTGCTTGTTTCCTTGATTCTTTTGCAAATGGATGATAAAATGCAGCTCGACGAACTGATTTCTCCTTCTCCTTCTTCTTCTTCTCCTTCTCCTTGTTGCAAGAATTTCCTTTAGCATTTGCCTTATGATTAGATGGAGATTCATCAATTTCTGATACAACTTCACATTCAGAAGTAGAGGATTCACTATTTGCACCTATAACAGTAGTGCAGCTTAATTTGCTTAGGCGACCTTTCGAGAGCTCCTTGATATCAGATTTTGACTTTATAAGCAACCACTCCAGAGTTTTGCTGGCCTTCTCGAACCTCAACATGTCTTGTAAATTGAAAAAATTGCGAGCAATATCAATTGAAAGTCTTATTCTTCGGTCTCTCGGGCCTTTAGCTGTGTTAATCTTACTGTGTCTATCTTTCTTAGACACTCTCTTGTTGCTGCTTATTTTACCCTTTTTATTCTCACATCCTTCCTCTTGTTCAAGTTCATTTCTACTTATTAAAGCGTCGTCTTTGTTGGAATCTGCCGTGTTAATAATGGCAGTCTCAGTACTGATCTCAGCTAAGGTATCATCAAGATTCTGTTGAAGTTGATCATGGTAATATTGGAAGAAAAATTCGTGTTCATATTGCATACAAGGAGAAGGGATGTTGAATATATTAGATGAGAAAATGGGGTTGTAATTGTAGGTGTAGTTGCTTGAGTTATACATTGTCTGCTCTATATTATAAACACAAATACTCTAGCTGCAACGGATGAAGTTGACAAAGCTAATACTTCTGAATAAGCTAGCTGCACCAACAAGGAAAAAAAAGTATAATTAAACCTACTGAGAGAAACTTAATTAGTAAGTATCATTATCATAAGTAGATTTTCTTATTAGTTCTTCTTTTTCTCCCTTTTATATTCTTGTGCTTCTTTATGCTTGTATTCATTCCAAATATAGAGGTTGATTCAGGATTTGAAGTTGATGGGGGCACGTGAGCGAACTGCTCAACCAATGACTCCATCTGACTTTTGATCTTAAGGATTTCAAGTAAAATATATGATCGTTTCAATAAATATACACATATATCTAGAATTTTGCCGAAGTTAACGAGGTCCAATGGCCACTCTACTCTAAACATAGGTCCGCCTCTGGACAGAGATAGAGATGTTCTAAATGATAATAAAACATAGCATCTTGCTTCATATGATAGTATTATGTGGCTTTTACATGTCTTTTGTGTACTTAATTAAAGTGTATAGCATGTATAGACATATGTTGAATAAGATTAAGCTACTAGCTAGAGTTGGAGATTGAGAAAGAAATGGGAAGAAACTTACCAATGGCTACCAAGATTTACATTTCTTTCCATCTTTGCAATTCCTAAAGCAAAAGTAGGCAAGCATTGGTTAATGAAAGAGAAGAAGAAAAAGGAATGATGGAGAGAGTTTTAAGATAGGTAGTAGAAGTAGTAGTACTAGCAAATAGAGCAGCTGGTTTTATGGGAAGTGAATGGATAGGAAGGACTTCTACTTGTGCCACTTCACGTGATATCAGCTGACAGATTGACCATTATAATACTTTTATCGTGTTTGCAAAGCCCTTAATAATCATACAGTAACCATGAAAGTGCTATATATACATGCTACTATGCTATAGCCTGCTGCCCTAAAGGGCAGCAAAGGTTGAGGGATTTGTGATACAATTTGGAGCCCTGCATGTGAACTAAGTCTGATATTTATTTGGAAAAGGATAGACAGACGGACCTATTATATATCCTCGAGGTTCGGAAGCTACAACTGGTCCTAAGGATTGACCCTCAACCGATTTCTCAGTCTCCGCCTCGATTTGAAGCTTATTAGTTTTATATTAATATTTTGTACCTATTATATGGATTTCTTAAGATAAATATAGAGTCTGGACCAAAGTTAGTGGGTTCGGCACCAGCTTCTCTCCCAAATGAGTACACATGTACCACCAAGGTTTATAGCTTAGTGATATTAGTGAGAGTATTTAACTAAATATATGTGTGGATTCAATACTCACTTGTATTTTCTTGATCCCTATGTATAATGGAAATTCTTTTTTGAAAAAAGTGCCTATGTACAACCTTGCCAAGGACAATTATTACAATTGAGGAGATAATATAAACCAAAGTAGTGTAGATAATTTAGAGCTTTGATTTGTGAGGGAGTGAAAAGAGAGAAGGCCTATGGTTTGTCGAAGCTGCAGGGCAAATGCAACTTTTGACTAGGGTCCTCAGTCCATGTCACTTTCGTTATAAAGAGAAATACTCTCTCTCTCTTAGCACAAATCTCTTTCCAAGTCTATGTTGCTGATGTGAGAGAGTTAAAGCTTATGTGTAGTAATTAATTAGATGTTTGAAGACATGTGGAGTATAGCTTTTTAGAGAGGTTTATCATTATTCTCACTACCCTAGCTCTTTCCTCCCCTCAATTCTCTCCAGACAAACTTCTTTTCGCATACATACTAAAGTTTGTTTTGTGCTTGTACTTGCCACTCATGATGTTCACAACCCTCCCGTTGAAACCCTAGCTTGGGCCTTCTGTCCTTCTTCTTGCCATTTATTATTTAAAAATATAAATACCCCATCAGTCTCAATTGTGGCATAATTTGGTTTTGGAGATTCAAACTTCTTAATTTGACTGTAAATTCGGATATAGAATATTTAAGTTTAAATACATATTTGAAAACTACGTAAAAAGTACGATAAGTCACTCTAGTTAATAATTCAAAACATGTAAGAGGCATATGAAAAAATCATGATAATAAAAAATTCGTTTGGCTCTCGAAATTCGAACATTGCCACATAAATTGGGACTAATTAGGTATAATTACTAGCTTCATTCATTTCTAATATTATTTCTAATATTACTAGTCATAAGAATTATTTGACTAAAATACTCTTTTTATCTTCCAAAAATGTGTATAACTATTCGGCGAGTAGCTGGAGTACAGTTTATAGATTCAGCCGAGCTAGTGGCGGACTCAGGTCATTTATAAGGAGATTCAAAATATTAAAAAGTGAATACACAAACAAACCATTGGAATACAATAGATCTACTATATATACATAAAAAATAATTCTAACCTTGCAACATAATGTAATTTTCTGGCTAGAGGGGTTCCTTTGCACTCCCTGGTTCTGCCCCTGAACCCATTAGCTTTTGTTCAAATAGATCATGTGCACCTCACATGTATTAGTTAGTTAGAATGTTAGTTACAGTTGTTAGGTAGTTAAGGACAGTTGTTAATGAGCTGTGTTAGTTTGATAAGTTAATTAGTGGTAGTTAGTGGTTATTATATATGTACAGTGTTAAATACTAAATGAGCTAATGGAACAATTGTCATTTCCAAAGTGCCCCGTTTCTCTCTCTTTTGACTCTATTAACAAGCATGGTGAAAACTTCAATCCTTGCATTTCAGCCTTATATTAGAGCGGGAGTAATTGATTCTACACATCACATCTTTGTTACGCTAAAATTCACAGACTTTTTTTAATTTGATCAATTGATGTTCGATTACTCAGAAAATGGAAGAAACTTCGATCGGTCATACACATCTTATATACCCATCTAACACTCCAAGCAGTTTCTATACTAGTGAAACTCACTGGATCAGACAATTACGAGCTATGGAGCAGGTCGATGAGGATCACACTTTTGGGGAAAAGGAAGCTAGAGTTTGTTACTGGCACATGCAAGAAGGATTTGTACAAAACAGTTGAATTGCAGGAACAATGATAAACTTGCAATGCGGTGGTGTTGTCATGGATCATGATCAATGTGTGTGCAGAACTCCTAGGTGGTATCGTCTATGCATCAGATGCACATCTCGTTTGGGAAGATCTGCGAGAGATTTGACATGGTCAATCGAGTGAGGATTTTTTAATTACATCGTGAAATTGCAGCGTTATCACAAGGAACTAGCTCAGTTTCAGTCTATTTCTTGAAATTGAAGGAGCTCTGGCATGAATATGATGTTTTACCCCATTCTCTAATTGTAGATGTCCAAAATCAAAGGAGAATGTGAAAATGATGCATCGGTAGTGAGTAATGCAGTTCCTAAGTGGCTTGAATGATTCGTATAATCAAGCGCGCAGGCAAATCCTAATGAAGACCGCTACACCAATCCTCAATCGCATATGCTATGATTGTACAAGATGAGAGTCAACAAACAGTTGGTGCAAATATTGTGACTGATAAGGCAGATGTTATAGCAATGCAAGCAGGAAGAGGTAGAGACTTTTGAGGAAGGAGGCAATTTATGCAATGTGAGCACTTTTGTCACGACCCGAGTTCGCCCTCCGTGAACTGTCGTGACGGCACCTAGTCTCTACGACTAGATAAGCCTAAAACTTTTGCGAAAAAAATAAACGAAAGATAAAACTAGCCAAAAATTACGGATAAAACATAAATAAAACGTTTAAGATACCGATCGGCATATACAATTATAAACTCTCAAACTGAAACAACTCCCAAAACCCGAAATCTCATGAAATCACAAGTTGTTGAATAACTACAAGTGTTCTAACTCCAGAATGTCTAAACAAAAGTAAATACAGGAAAGCTAAAACTAGAGGGCAGAATAGAGACTCTGTCTGCGGACGCGGCAGATATACCTCAAAGTCTCTGAAGATCGCCCCGCTTCACTGATGGTATGGCTGAGCCGAAGAACATGGATCTGCACATAAAAAACATGTGCATGAAAGGGCATGAGTACACCACAGCGGTAACAGTAAGTGCCGAGTCTAATCTCAGTCGAATAGTGACGAGGAAGGTCATGCCCTAATGATTATTGATGAAAAACAAGGTAAAACAGTATAGAATACGACAATATAATTAAAGTGCTAAAAGTATATAACGAATAAAATCACATAAAGAATCTAACTCGGTACACAGAAATAGCAATAGGGGATCTCCCGGGATATCGTCCCGTAGTCCCAAACGTAAATGTCCAGAGGATCTCCCGGGATATCATCCCGCAGTCCCAAAGTAAACACACAACCATCTCAGAAGAATATATAGTTTATTCAAGAATTAAACAGGAAATTTCTACTCTAACATGCTGCATAAATTACAAATAGGCAATTAAGACAGGTAAGACAATTAAGTCATGTAAGCATGTTTTTCCTAATCTAAACAAGAGGCTTCAAGAACAAGTATTTGCTAAATTACAAGAAAACATAGGTATTAGCTTAATGAAAACGGAATTTCAACAATTAGCATGTGTATGCACTCGTCACCTCACGTACACAACACTCATATAACAAAAATACCAAATCCTAAGGGGAGTCCCCCCTCCCCCCACCACAAGGTTAGGCAAGTCACTTACCCCAAACCAGCTCAATCAACTCGAAATCACGTTCTTACCACGAGCACCCGACTCCAAATGGCCCAAACCTATTCAAATTAATTGCATAATGTAAATATAACTTCAAGTAACTAATTCCACTAATTAATTCGAAGCTAACACGCGAAATTAAGAAAATTGCCCAAAAAGTCCCCCGGGCCCACGTCTTGGAATTGGATAAAATTTACAAATTCAGAACCCCCGATCACTCACGAACACACTCGAATAAAAATCACCAAAATTCGACGTCAAAATCTCACTCAAATCCCGGATTTTCAATTGGGGAACTTTTCTCCCATTTCAAAACCTTTACCCCCAAATTCCTTAATTAGAAGAGGAAAACAACAATGGATTAATGTTCTAAGATCAAAATCAAGATAGAAATCGCTACCCAAAACTTCACCTCCAAAACCCCTCGAGAAA